AAGTACTACACCATATTTCAATCTAAAAAAATATTCATAAACAAAACATTTATAATATAGGTAATACTAATACTATAGGTATGTTTAACTTACAATCTTCTACTAGAACCCGTGTTCGGTACAAAATCTTCTGGTTTAAAATGGTTTGATACTATAATTTAAACTCAGATGTAAATGTTCAAAAGTTCTCATAACTTCATTTATTCTTGAATTGTTTGCAAACTTAACCCATTTTTGAGAACTGTAATTTGTAATATTATAAACTATAACAATTCTAGTGTATTATGATTTAAGAGTGATTTTTATAATAAACAGATACTTACATATGAACGTCTTTTGGAAATGAATGAAAAGACAATCTCTGTTGACCACTTAAATCATTTTTACAATGATTTACAGAGCATACTTTTTTGGACACCATTTTTAAGCAGTTAAAGGTAATACAAGTAATTACTACGCCGTTAATTTATGAATTTTGTTAATTGATAACAAATTAACAGTATACGTAATATACTAATATAGGTAGTAGCACAGAACAATAGTAGGTACCAGAGCCGGATTGGTCAGGCGAGTTACCGAGAAAATCTCGGTGGGCCGCTTAAAGTTTGGGCTGGTTGTGTGAGTGTGGGTGAAAATAAATTCATGTTTAAAATACGATTAACCACCTATGAGCTCGTAACAATTTTAGACGTAATTTAGGCCAGTGAGTATATGTAATTGGGCCGCTTAGAAGTTAAAATCTCGATGGGCCGATACACACCAATCCGACCCTGGTAGGTACTAATATGAATATATTACGTACRWTTGTACGAATGTATTATTATTGATATTCAAACTTCAAAAATGGTGGGAAGTATCATCATATTTTAAGGAGTAAAGTTAGGCAATTTAATGTCAATCTCGGGGGGAATTGATAAGACCGGTCGCCAGATTTTAGAGTAGTAAGTGTCCCATATTGTCGTATATARTATTTGCTATAATTCACTCGGTTGGGTTAGTAAATAGTTGGTCGGAGCTAGAAGTTAGATGCGCGATTTCYTTCAAAACCGTTATGTTGCAGCCACGGTTTAAGATATAAATTTAAACCGTATAATCATATATTGTTCTGTGGTATAATATAATATAATATTAAACCGTGGTTGCAGCTGACATACCTATTATATTTATCATGGTTATTTTAATCAAAATAATTTTTCATTAATAATGATATCATTCTTATCATAGTTTAAGTTATTTAGTTATAAACATATAAACTAATAACACTATTTACTAACTAGAGAGTTATTTTAATTTATAAGACCTTATTTTGTTTATTATACGTTTTCTTTTACCTTTCATATAATACATATTCAGTTACTAATTTAAAACTGCATTTCATATGGAGAAGACATCAGATACCATAATAAAGGAGCTATTCAACTCTTTGGAGCAGAAAGTACCTTATGTTCCTGAACCTGATGTTATGTCTTCTAAATCAATGGCCGATTCCATTAAGAAACATAAGCGACACGATAAATCAAAAAAACATAAAAAACATAAGAAAAAATCGAAGAAATCCAAAAAGAAAAAAC